AGAGAGAGAGAGAGAGAGAGAGAGAGAGAGAGAGAGAGAGAGAGAACAAAGGATCCCCTCACACGTATCAGAGGGCCTATGCTGGTAATCTGAAGGGTCCTTGCAGCAATTTAGCAAGGACCCTCCACCCAAGTCGAGGCAGCCAGTGAATACAAAGTGGAGCACGAGCTGGCTGAATATATACTCACGATTCGTATTCAGGTCTGTGTTTCAGCAGTTATGGGTTGCTCACTTCGCTAGGCCCTGTTGGTCTCTGCACGCAATTATCAGGGCTTGGCTGCAGTACTCAGCAAATGAGCAGAATTAGAATGGATCTTCTGCTAGAACGTGGAATAATACGCCACCATATGTTCTATCTTTTGTGCATGTGGTGAGTAGAGGCCCTTAGGGCCACTGCAAATGTGCAGAATTAGAATGAATCTTCTGCTAGAATGTACACCGCATTACTCTTACCCTCTCCCTCTCTCTCATTCTCTCCCCTTAACACTGTCGTCCCTTCCCAGTGTCTCTAAAGTGTAATGGCAAGCCCTTCAACAGTCCTGTGCCCTCTATGCCCATGCGAAGCATCTTGTCGTACTCCTTGAGAAGTCACTCATATCCTTGGATTCCTTGTATTCGAGTCGTACTCTTTGAGAAGTCGCCCATATCCTTGGATTCATGTTGCTATGGCCACATTACTTCCCCTGGATTTCTTTTTGTGCTGAAAGCATTGTGGAACCAACAGTCCTCGTTCCACACATCCAAAGCATTGTGAGACGCCCCTCAAGATGTTCCCTTCCTCAAGGGGCTTGTGTAAAGCATTGTGCAATTTCCCATAGATTCCCAATCCTCAACATTCTCTCACCTTCCCTCTGTGTGCCCATTCAGCATAATGGGACACAACTGAACACCACCCATCCCTTTTCCCATGTGCTTAGTGTGTGACAGGATGGCCGTTAACATTGCCCCGCTCCCCAACCCATGGAAAGTGTAATGCTGCGGTTCTGAACAGTCCCCCTTCCTCCTGTCAGTCTTGGACTCCCCCTCCCACCCACCATTTGCCCACAGCGTTATGGGACACTCCCCAAGGCTCCCTGATCGTTTGGGCAGGGTACAGTAATCGACACGGAATGTTGAGCCAAGCAATTGCTCTTAACAGCAATGATGATGCTGCAGCCAGGCCCACTGGTGCTAGGCTCTGCCAAGTGAGAGCGAACCTGGTAGGGCTATGCTTTGGAAGTATGGCGTTGGTCGATGAGAGAGTGCTGATTGGATTGTATCAATGAGAAATATCTACAATTTAACACCACGACGGTAAAGGTGTTTTCTAGTTGAATATCTGTGTTTATACATGGCTCTCTTGGACAAGCCCCACCAACGAAGACCTAATCTTTATTCTCTTTGTAACGACTGGGAACAGGTGGGCCCTTATGGAGAAACAAGGTTGCAGTGCAGCAAAGCTTCGGCACAAGCCAAAACGGAGGAAGATGTTCGTGACGGCTCTGGTATGTCCCAGAATCTTTCAGCAAGAGAAACCGTCTTCTCTACCGAAGCTATCTTGTAAAAAGACTTCCGCTCTGGTTTAGGATTTCATATGCTGGTTAAGTTCTGGCCTTGAAAGATGCAGAAAAATACTTTTGCAGGATACCATACAGAGGAACAAGTGTGAGCTCACATGCGAACATATGTTGTGAAGACAAGTTGAATTGTGAGTTTTCAAGCTGGTAACAGTATTCTTTTTTTCTCTTTTTTTTTGGCCATGCTAAGCTTTTGTGTACCGTTCCAGTTTTAACTGATGTCCCGGTAATAGTTTATTCTGTTTTCAATGAGCAGGATGTTTTCTGTGATTGTATTGAATTAATCCGTTAGGATTCAAAGTTTGCAAACTCGTCATCTGTTTGGCAACAGTTACATGTGTTTACTATTCAGCCAGAGAGGCTGGGTGGGCAGTATTCTGTCTGCGTTATTTTCTCAGGTTACTCGAGGACCGGCCCCAATCACAAAGAAAAATACAGAGCGGTACCGATTGCCGCATGATTATGCTGAGATGTGATAATTGCAAGGATAATGAGCGATAGCGAAATGACAGAAATCCAGAATGCAAATTCACATTGAAGGCCAGAAAGTCCAACGCTGTCCAGAAAGCAGAAATGCACTGATATTCCACCAATGGAGAACCGAAGTACTGAATCCGAATGTCAATGAGAGCATACTCTTGCCACCACCAACGTATGTATCCAGAGCCCGTCCTCCTACTTGGCGCTCAGCGCCCAGACTACTGCTACACAGCTACTAGCAGCCTACGAATTGACAATGCATCCCGTTGACGCCAGCAGCAGCAACCGAAATGCAAGAAGATGTCGACCTTGTAGACCATCGCCAAGACCAGATACATGCCCTCACATCATCATCCTCATCTCTCTCACTCTCTCTCTCGTCTTCTCTCACCCCCGTCTTCTCTCTCATACATGAAGACCACCACCACCTCCACTGGCGAAATCCAAGCCAAGCCCGACTATGGGGGCTGGCTATGGCGCTGCCCTCAGCAGCACCGTGCCTTGTCGCAGGAACGCATGCGTGCACACACTTGCCTATGCACTAGCGCAGCAGCCCGCGAGCGCTAGCTCCAGCAGCGCTGCCGCATCTGCTTGCAAGCGCCCGATCCCTTTCTTGGCGCCCTGCCCTTTCCTACATGGAAAGGGGCAGGCACTTTGCCTCTCTTCCCACATGAGACCAAGTTTCCAGTAGCTTCTGTCTCGGCCAAAGTGTCTGCGCCCTGGCCCGTTCAGACAGTGGCCTGGGACCGAATTGGTTAGGCGTGCCCAACCACTCAGGCACAAACGTGCGGTGCTCCCTGCTTACACCACGTGCTGGAAGAGTCTTGAGGGCTCACAAATATTTTGGATTCTCACGAGCAAGGCGGATGTAACCAACTGGCCCGTGGCTACTGTCTGGCGGTGACCAAGATTTGCAAAAATTGACAAGTTCAGGGGCCCGCCTTCATTAGGATGGGCACATGCTTGATGCAGGGCCTAATGCGGTTATGCCGAGGGATCAAACTCTCGCATAATGGTCTGATCCTTGCCTTTGCATGTAATTTCCGTCGCTGTGAGGGTTGCATAATCACGTGCAAACTGCGAGGCCACATTCAGTGTGTAAGTTACCGAGCTGCAGCGTATGAGCTATGGAAACAAAGGAAAAAAGAAAAGAAAATTCGGTTTGCCCAGGGATGGGCCCTTGTTGACAAGGCCCATGGTTGGGGGGACGGGGGAAGCGAACTGCGGCATGGCAAAAGGGTGATGGCATTTGGGACGGGTTCAACTGCTTTTCTGTGCTTTGGAGCCCTCTGAGACCTGCACGTGTCCTGTGCCGCCATGCAAAGTGTATCATCATGCACTCTGCTGAGGTGGCCTGATTGGCTGTGCTCCACTCCTATCCCACCCTCAACGGTGTCTACATTGCTATTCGCAGTACACACCCTAGAAAGCAATTTCCTCACCCATTCAGCTGAACAGTTCGAATAATAGGCAGCTGGCCCTGCCTCCCCTAACTCCATTTTCCTCTTCACAAAGAGCACAAAAGATGTGCCCCCAGCCTCAGCCCTCAGCGGCCTTCTGGTACACATCCGTGAGACCACACTTGCTGCAGTGGACTTGATCAAAATGGTTGACCATGAAAGTTCCTGGCCCACATTCTGGATTAGGACACTGCTTCCGAAGACGAGTGACCATCCCTGTATCATCTACTGCAAGGTAGGAAGCTTGACCTTCTTCTTGTGCTTGATCCTTTTCGGCTCCGTGTAGGTCTTCTTCTTTCTCTTCTTTGCTCCGCCACGAAGCCTTAACACAAGAGCAGAGTCGACTCCTTGTAGTCCACAAGAGTGCATCCATCCACAAGCTGCTTCCTTGCAGAAATCATCCTCTGCTGATTGGGAGGGATACCCTCCTTATCTTGAATCTGCGTCCTCACATTGTTGATGGTATCCGATGACTCTACCTCAAGGGTAATAGTCTTACCTGTGAGGGTTTTCACGAAGATCTGCATTGCGCGTTGCTCTTCTACGGACCTCAGGACTCTTCTCTCCACTCCCAGAGAGTCTTGCCTGCTCACTCAGTACTTTTCCTATGTTGTGTGCGACGATTTGTGTAAACACGACCTGAGAAAAAGCTCATTCCAGACTCCTTACTTTCCCTTAACTTCCCTGCCTTCCTGTGCTTTGTCTTCCCTCCATCGTTTCTGTGTGTTTATCCTCTCCCCGTTTACGCTGCCTCGTTCTCACAGTGTACAAGTGGGCCGTTTTGGCACACGGGCATGCGGGCATCTCGTGCCCAAGTTCATCAATGTGGTGAGCCTTGTACGCGAGAGGCACAGTAAAGGGGGAGTGAAAAGAACAATGATCACGAGAATGGTTTCGGTGTGCTCTTCAATTTTTGTCGTCTAATTTTTGTAACTTTGTTTCTCAAAGTGTGCTCTTTTAGTTGATAGATATGTGACAATATATAGATATATGAATGCTGAGCTAGGTCTTCCATGTCCTCATCTGTCTCATCCTTACAATGTATGTCCTCTCTGTCTTCAAGGACAGACTTATTTTTTGAGCGTTCTGTTATCCTCTCCTATGCTTTCATCTTCATTCCATCCATTGATTTCCCTCCGTCTTCCTTCGCTTTGTCTCTTTCTATCTGTTCTCTCTGTTTATCCCCTTTCCCTTTACTCTGCCTGGTTTTCACAGCATACAAGTGGGCCATTATGGCACACGGGGATGAGGGAGCTCGCGCTCAACTTCGTCAACGTGGCAAGCCTTGTACGTGATAGGCACAGTAAAGGGAAGCTAAAGGAGGAAAGAATCAAAGAGGCAACACTAAGGAAAGAAATGGAGAGCTGCATACAAAGAGGCAAAATAACAGTTTCAGTGTGCTCTTCATGTTTGTCTTATGCATTTTAACTTTTTAATTGTTTGTTTGACAAAGTGCGCTGTTTTAGTTCGTGGATATGTGACAACATACATGTTTCCTTCTTTTCTTTTTTTGATCCAGAGTCCAGACATATTCAGGATGCTGATCCCTCATCTGGACAGTCGAGGTACATTTGGATGTTGTCCGGTTATCCGGATGTTTGGATCTTTTTTACTAAAAGGGTGACCGCCTCATTGCAAGGGGACCAAGACGGACTAAGGGGACCAAGACGGACTAAGCAGGATAACAGTTGGATGCAGTGATATAGAGACAGTCACATGACAGGGAACAGGCGAAGAAGATTGGAAGGGCAAAGTAACGAAATTGCTGAAAGGGTAGAATGAAGATAATACGAGGATAGTATGAGGAAGGGATCAACAAGGGACAGTGCAGGAAGGTAAGGTCAAATTAGGGACAGTATAGGGATTTAAAAGCGTCAATGGTATTTGGATATGGGGACAAGAGGGTGATGGCATGAACTATGCGGCAACCGAGACTGCTATGAACACCCCCGCCGCACCTCCTCCGGGATCTTGCTGGTGTGTGACTGGGTGCTGCCAGTAAGCTTCCCAGGCAGCAGAAGCACCCCAGGAAGGCTATGGTTTGGGGGAGGGACGGTTCGTGACAGCCCCTACCTTGTGCAGGTGTCTAGTGCTACAAGGGCATGGCCGACTCTCACTTGTTACTTAAAAAAGAGAAAAAAAGAAGAGAAAAGAGATATCATGGTTGAGCTGACCGGCCCCAGGTAATTCGGAACTATATTATTCTGCTCATCCGATTGTGTCAGGATTCGAACTCAGGTCTGTATTTCAACAGTTTGTGGGTGTACCGAGGATATATCCGGGTTGAGGTCTGTTGTCTTGTCCGTATTTCCCGGGTGTCGATGTCCACAGTTACCAATCTTTTAAGGTATTTAAAATGTTTAGTTGATTCTCAGCCAAAACGTTTTGGTATTCTGCAGAACATGCTCTTTTTCAGTTTTTTGAAGTTTGTTCGAGGATCGGAATCTCAGGAAATAATCGGGAACCCCTGAAAAAGAAATATTCATTCATTTGTTCTGGATAGGCCCTTAGGATGCTCAATGTCCACAGTCCTTGCCAAGGTTTTGAATTTCTGTTGGTAACTGTGCCTTTTTGTGCTGAGCAGGAGCAGCAGCTTCTAGCAGATCGGAGAAAAGCGAAGAGGAAGCAAGCATCTGGAACCCAAGCCTCAGCAGTACAAGCTTCAGCGGCACCAGCCACAGCATCACCAGTGTCAGCAGCACCAGCGCCAGCAGCAGTGGCAACAGGGATCCAGGATGCACCAGTCTGCGAATTACCAAGTACTACAGGAGCATCTTTGTCCAGTCCTGCGTGTGTGAATGACGCATGTGTACCTTGCCCCTCTGCAACTGGAGTTGTCAGTGCTGCGAGTGGGTCTCGTGGAAGCCCTGGCTCTGGCAGGGATAATATGCCCGTTGCCGCTGGACCCGGTGGAGAGGGAAAGGGAGGTGCAGGTGAAGAACAGAAGGAGGGACATGAAGCAAAGAGAGGTGGAGGTGAAGAGGGGACGGGAGGTGGGGATGGGAAGGGAAGTGGATTTGCAGAGGGAAAGGGCACTGGAGAAAAGCGGGGAGGTGGAGTAGGGGAGGGGAAAGGAGGTGGAGGAGAGGTCAAGACAAGCGGAGGAGAAAAGAAAGGAGCTGCAAGTGGGGAGGGAAAGGGAAGCATAGACAGAAAGGCGGGAGGATTGGGGGACTCCAAGGGAGTCGTGGAGAGAAAAGGGGGTTTAAGTGGAGAAGGAAAGGCAGGCGGAGGAAGAAAAGTGGGGGGCCTGGGTAGCAAGAAAGAAGGGGCAAGTCCCAAAAACTCTGGGCATAAAAGCAAGAAGGGAGCTGCAGTCGTCATTGGAAATATATGCAATGTATCAGAGGTATCAGGGGCCAAAAGCACAACAAAAGTGGCACGCAACGCTCCTCGTCAACCGGCTCGACGGCCAAGGCCAAAGAAAGGTAAGTGAGAGGTGCAAGAAGATTCCATGGGCTGTTCACTGTTATTACCTTTTCCAACTTGTAGAGAATTTTTTTCATGTTTTTTATTCTTCTCCAATGCAGTATAGGTCATAAGGTTGGTTACACATTTCAGTTGTCGGCCGGGGATCACAGTCCTTGTAGAAGGCTTCTAGGGAGAAAACTGTTGCAAGTCCCATGTTTCAGAGGGGGAAAGGAAAAGGTCAGAAAACACAGGAAATGTCAAAGTTGGTGGGTGAAGCCACTTGCTGGGAAGAAGGGGAATAGGTAGCCTGAGGGACAGTGTATGAGATATTCATATAACAAACATACACCTGACGGGATCACAAGTGGTCTTCCCACCATCGTCAATATAGGCTTGGCACAAGTGGTCTTCCCACCATCGTCAATACAGGCTTGGCATTGTCGCTGGTCTTGCAGGACTGCTGTTGGACAGTAAGAAAAAGCCCTAAGCTAGGCTAACTCTCTACACAAATGACAGCTCACGTGAGCTCTAGCCTATGCAGTAAACCCGACCCTGGAGGAGGTCCACTGCGCACCAAGCTTTGCCAAACTGCCACCGGCTTTTCTTTTCTTTTTCGGCTGGCGCCGCCAGCCATTGTGGTCCGGTAGGCCGGAGGCACAAAATTTCCAGATTGGCGCTGAAACATTTTCTGCGAGGCTGTGGCCGTGCGCTAGCCAGTAGACCTCGGCCTGGAGGTGCTCCACTGCGCGCCAAGCTTTGCCGAACCATCAGCGGCGCACTTCTTCCCATGTTCCGCTGGCACCACCAGCCATTGTGATCCGGAAGGTCTGAGGCGCGGAGTTTTTGGAGTAGGCGAGGAAACATTTTCTGCAGGGCGGGGGGTACTGACTGTTTAAGGCAGTCCAAAGTGGCATGCATGATTCCCATGGGCTAGAGCCTAAACTACAGGACCCAACAAAATAGCTGAAACCACCAATGCCTTTCCCATATATTGGCTGCGGGAAAAAATAGAGTAGAAGCATTTCTAGTCGGATGAATTTGGACGCTCTCGTAGTGGCCCCGTTTGTTCATGATTGTCGTGGCTTGCATACCGCCGCGACTTCCAGAGGTACTGGTGGTTTAAGAATCCAATGTAAGTGGTTGTGCAGGATTCAGTGAGAGTCTTGGGGCCCGAAAAGAGTTCCTTCCCTTCCCTCTCCCCCGCTCGGTTCTCCCCCACGCCAGCTCCCCTGAAAGAAACAGAATAGGTGCCTGACTTTCCAGACCATACCTCAGGGTCAGTCGGAACCAACCAGGATATCAAAACACTCTTGCCTGCAAAAGAAGAAATCCCAAATACATATCTATATACAGCAGATGGCCTTGTTCGTCATCAAGATGTTTGTATTCCCATTCCCAAACCATTCATGCTCTCATAGGCCGAACAACGGAAAAACCCGGATGACTGGTCCCACATGAAAGCACCGCTACGATCGGCAAAATAGACCGAACAAGGGGACAAAACCAGCCGGGATGCAAACAAGGGTGTCAAAGCACACCAAACATAACAGATCGTAGATCACAAGTCCCACATGCAAGCACCGCCCCCTACGTCAAAGGCCAAACGACGGGACAATGACCAACCAGGATGGCAATCAACACCCTTGCCTGCAAAAAAACTATATAAATCAGTGTACTCAGCAAGCGCAGTACGACCCCCTATTCAGATTTGAACAAATCAGTGGATGATTGTTTTTTGACTGGTCGGCAGACCATCGACCAGTCGGCCCTATTGGTTGGCTGCAATACGGTCGGCGGTCGGGGTTGGCGGTCGGCAGGGGTGCAACCTTGCTTTGAAGTGGCTCCCAAGCAAGTAATGTCGCCAGTGGTCTGATGCTTGCCTGAGAGTGTAGAGTTCCCTCTCATAGGTAGATGTCGCTACCTTCTCTGAAGGCAACCTAGCGGACATGAACTCTACGGGTCTATACCCATTGCCATTGTCTTGCTGTAACGCAGCACCAATACCATACTAACTCGCATCACTTGTAACAACAAAGGGTAAAGATGGATCAGCTACCTTGAGGACTGGGTACTCTATCAAGGCCCGCTTCAACTTCTTCAGGGATGATGTACAGTCTTGGTCCCACTTCCAGATTGCCTCTCTCTTTAGCAGTCTGCGAAGGGGAGCAACGATTGCAGAGAAGTTTCTCACAAATTTCCTGTAATAGTCAGCCAATCCTAGGAACAATCTCAACTTAGTTAGTGTATGAGGACTTGGTCAATCTCTAATCGCTGCGATCTTGCTGTCCTAAGGCTTTATGCCATCACTATCTAAAACGTGGCCCAAGTACAGGATCTTTGTCTTGGCCCATTCGCACTTCTTTGCGTTGATCTTGAAATTTGCTTCGCGCAACTTTTCCAAGATCTGCCTCAAATGAGCCTCGTGCTCCTGGAGGGTCTTACTGAAATCAAAATATCATCTAAGTAAACAACTACAAATCGATCTACGGCCTAAACAAATCATTCATACAACGCTGGAATGTGGTCGGTGCATTGGTTAGTCCAAAGGGCATCACTATAAACTCGTAATGCCCATATCTAGTCTTGAACGCTGTTTTGTACTGATCATCATTGTGGACCTCTATCTGGCGGTACTGTGACTTCAAAACTATCTTGGAGAAGTACTTGCAGCCTTGCACCCAATCCAACAGATCGTCTATATGGGGCAGTGGTTCTGCATTCTTCACCGTAACGGCGTTGAGACCCCTATAGTCAATGCACATCCTAAGCTCTCCCTCTTTCTTGGGGACAAAAAGAACCCGTGCTCCAAATGGAGACGAACTGGGCCTAATCCACCCCTTCTCAAGGAGCTCATCTAGCTGTATGCGCAACTCCAACTCCTTGGAAGACGTTCTATACACTTCTCTCTTGGGAGTTTTACTGCTAGGCTCTATCTCAATGCGGTGCTGGATAGGACGCGGAACTACTCCTGAAGGAGACTTTGACAAATCTGCGTACTCTTCCAACAGCTTGGCAATAAGTGGGTTGGTGGGTTCCTCTTTCTTAGGCTCAGTGACTGGCCTAACATTGGTTATAAAAACTTACTCTTCTAATTGCTCCTCCTTTACTAAACGCGTGAACGCGGGAGCACTGAGACAACAATGTGCCAGAGGGTTATCTACTCCTGACACATGAAATACGCAAGCCGTCTTGACGTCGCCTGAAGGACTAGGAAGCCTACACTCGTGCACTCTTAAGTGCAGTGTGGCTCATGCTGCCTTTCCCCAGTCCATACCTAGGACCATATCGAATAGGAGATTGTCCTCTACGAGGATCGTCTGGGAATGGAGAACTCTCTCGACCTTCCCATCTTTCTCTAGGCGAAAGTAAGCATGGACTCCCTCGACGTAATCCTCGATTCACATAGTGCGATTGTCTGCGAGGATACTGACTATGGGTTCTTCTAGCTTCTGGACTTTGAGATTCAACTTCAGCTTCTGCAACGCTTTACGACTAATATGGCTACGAGTGGCCCCACTATCTATTAGGGCCCTTACCCTGCCTCTAAAGACTTCAACATCTACTAACAATAGCTGCCCTTTCCCATCTTTCTTCATCTTGGCCCAGGTTGGCATCCTCTCCTTCAACTCTTTTGCCGGTCCTGTGAGGGAAGCGCCTAGAGAGACTCTAACACAAGCAGTTTCTCGACAGCTTAGGCGCTGGCCAGCAACCTCTGCCATAGGCACATGTGGGTTGGGAGTTCCTATGTGGCGCGCATTCTCTTCTCCACATGGCCTAAGGGTAAGGGCAGTTGCTACCCCTACCGACGGTTGCCTTTTGCTGCCTCTGCAGCAGATCGCGGGGCATCTCGGTACTTGGGGCAATATTTGATGATGTGCCCCGGGTCAACGCAATAATGCACTGACCCTCATCTATCCTCTGCCAAACAGTCTGTTCCATGCTGAACGATTCCCAAGGTCTGCCCTGGGGCAGACCAGGGTGCCATTCACCTCTCCTGGGAGGTGATCGATTGGCACAAGGACGGTTTTGCGTAGACTTTTTTACCCCTTCCTCCCACTTGGCGGTTGCCTCTACCACCAACCCCTTGGCCGCCCTGTCCTCGACCACCAGAGGCGTGGTCCCTTTGGCCTTGGCCACTTCCACTACCCGACGACCTCCCTCCGACCACGACAACAACATTAGTACTCCCCTGGCCTACACCATTGTCCTCCTCTTCGAGGCCCCACTCAATCTGGCTATATGGGACCTCCTCCATACCACCTTCGTCTAAAGTGAGGATCAAGTGATCCTTGGCCCTGACTTGGCCTGAGATGGTACGCTCCTTCAACTTTTGTCTTTTGTCAAGGTCCTTATGCCAGAAAGTGGACGCTGGCATGGACTGAGCCTCAAAAGCCACTACATCTCTACGCAACGTATCGTAGGTCATGTTAGGCTGTTTGCTTTTTTCATAGGAGTGCCCGTGCAGACTCTCGGGCATGGCGCGAAAGAACAACTGAACCAACTGGGGCTTAGTAACCCCATGGTCAGGGATGGCGACAAGTACGTCCATGGCACCTTTTGAGTGCTCTTGCACTCTTCGATGGTCGAGAGTGGATTGTTTGTAGTTTGTCGGAGGCCTTGAGGCCCCTAGTAAGATCCCCAACCTGATCTCAAAGGCTTTGAGGAACTCACTTAGGGGTGTGATAGTAGAGTACGCAGCCATATCATTATCACACCTGGTGGCGCGGGCTAACAATCTCGCGAAGCTGGATGCTTCCTCTCTGAGGGCGTGAAAGGTGACGAGGACTTGTTCCTCGGGAATGATATCTTGGAGGTGCACATAGGAGTCAATGTTTGCCTCCCAGTTATCGAAGTTCTCTCGAGTCAATGTTTGCCTCCCAATTATCGAAGTTCTCTCGAGTCAATGTTTGCCTCCCAGTTATCGAAGTTCTCTCGAGTCAATGTTTGTCTCCCAGTTATTGAAGTTCTCTCCCTTTTTCGCACTGTAGGGATCAATGAATTTCACCTTTACGCGTTC